ATGCTCATTGTGATGAAGATAATAACTGATTGTTGTCACATTTCAGGTTTGGCTTCTTAGGGTCTGAAGCTGCAAGATCCTCCTGCAGCTGCTCACATTCGTCCGAGCCACATGATGGCTCCGTGTACAATTCAGTACCATTCAATACTTGTGTTCTCCTTAAATATGTGTCCTGTCTATTTTGCACAATAATTTATTGTAACGTCTCCCTATTGTGAGACGTATCTTCTTATATTTATATCAATGACAATAAAATACATGAAAATCAAACTCCTTGGTCTCTGTGTTTTTTATTTATTTAGTTGTAGTCTGTGATGTCTCTGACAGCCGCTCTTTAGTTTCCCTCTGAGGTGTGAAGGAGCAGGACTGCCTGCTGTGCAACATCCTGCAGGTGTGAAGTCTGACCACGAGGTGAAAAGATCTCAGCAGTAGATCTCAACTTCAAAGTGATCAAAGATCACACCAATGTATCCTCTCTTGAAGAAAGGGTTAAATGCAACACGATGTTTTAAAATGTGTTTTTTCCTTTTAATTTAACTCTCAATTCTGCAATAAAATCTATTCAGACTTAATCTTTTGCAAAGTCAAACCACAAGACAATGAAATTTAATGTCCTTTTATTCAGTCACACTAAAATTAGGTTTATGTGAAGAGCCAGCAGGTGACGTTCGAACAAACGCAGCTCAGCCTCGTCGTTGTCTATGGCGGCATCATTTATTTTTACCACTCTGTCACCTACACGCTGCTAAAGAGGCCGTTCGTTTCCGGCACGAGTCTGTTGTTGACAGGAAACGACAACATTCGTGTCTCCTGACACTTCCTTCAGATCACTTTGAAGATCTGACACGAGGACATGGTTACCAGGAGACTGATGACAGCGGTGGGAGAGTCACACTTACCAAGACAGGTCTGCGGAAACTGCAGCACGAAAATAGTATGTAGTAAAGATAGATAGATAGATAGATGTACTTTATTGATCCAGGGTTGGAGAATTAAATTAAAAAATATATAGAGAGACATTCAATTATGTCATTAAGTAATATTATAAGAAAAGATCAAATGATCACATTTGTACCAGTACCCAGTGTCACGTTTGACTATTTCTGAGGTCACACTTTCAATGACATCTTGACAACAAAACTGCACTACTGTTTATTTCATTTATTTTTCCTTAATGTTCCGTGACTTCTGGTCTGAGTCTTCCCTCAGTTGGTGACAGGGTCTCAGGTGTGGGGACTGGATACGGACATTTTCTCCTGGGAAAGAGGAAGCGAGCACTTTTTATTATCTGTCAGAATGTGTGCGTTTGTGTGACTGATGGCCCCCCCACCCCCCCACACACACACACCCACAGACACACAGCTCTCTCTCAAACTCACCCACACACACTTCTCCACTTAGCACGAACATGCTAATTACGCACCACACTTCACACTCGCGCTCAAACCTTTTCTTTCACGCACTGTCTCCATTGTATCTTTATCCAAACCTGTTCGCGCGTTTGTTCTGTATGCGCATGCGTGGCTTAATGAATGCCGCAGGAAAAAAAAATGGATTCGGGAAGATACACTAAAGGTTAATGAAGTCGAACGATTAACATTTGAAACACAAAACCAGAACATTCTGGTTTTTCATTTTGGGTAGATACAGTTTTCTCTTTGGTTCTTAAAATACATAAAATAAACAGTTGCTCTTTTCCAGTTGGAATAGACAGACATTAATACAATTATTAATTAATTTTAAAGACATATGACAAATGTTAATGAAAACGGTTATGTAAATGTGTGAATGTAATCAACATATTTCTGGTTTGTGAGGGGATAAATAACAGAAAAATAAATACCTGTATGGCTTGGCATTGTGCTTAAATTCTTTTACACAGTTTTACGCACGACTGGACGCATATTCGTGACAAATACTTTGAAATCGCTGAAATCACAAGAGAATAAAAACACGACGCCCCGTGCTGTAGTAGTTTAAAACGGGAGCGTGGGAACACCGAGTTTTTCCAAAACCACGCCACTTTTACGAGGTATCAGTTCTGACAGCTAATGAATACGGTGGAACGATGGGTTGCTGTGCTTTCCCACGAAAGAGAGAACACGCTTCTCCACCAATAAAACGACAACAACAGACAAATGTTCAGCCGACACACAGCACTAAATAACTGAATTAATCCAGCGTCGTGCGTAAATGAAGATCAACCCCTTTATGCACAGAATACGCGTAAATATGATACGTTTGAGCGACTGTTTCAATTTCAATACACATTCAACTGGTTTATATTAAATATTACTTTAAATGTTTTGACTATATGTCAATCTGTCTCTGCACAGGTTTGGTTAAAAGAAAGACGTTTTTTACAAAAAGAAAGAAATTACGACGCGTTTCCAAACTGACTCCACATTTGATTCCTGACACATACATGTCAAGTGGAGAAGTGTGACAGTGGGAGCGTGTCCTCCGTGGTGGTTCTTCCCAGGTTTATTACCTGTTAGAATCCATACCTCGTTTACCAAACGCGCTCCTGGGTGAGAGGAGCTGAGGTGGTTCTCAGGTTCACACAGGAGCAACTGGCTGTGGTAGAAGATGATAAAAAACAGTGGTGTGCACAGATTATTTGGGAAGCAGTTGCTCAGGTGAGACATGACACCCTCCACACAATGATGATTCAAATCCATTAAGATGAGCTTCATTACAGCTGACCTCCTCAGGGGGTCACCACCAAATGAAGGGTCATGTACTTCCATCTGACCTTTCTTCTTAACCTACCGTGTCCACGGATGTCAACTTCTGTCCTTATCTGGTTCTACAGTCTGATACTCCACCGTCCCAGCCATCAACCCTGCCTCTGAGACTTTACCTTTCAATAGTTCCCCTGGTTTGCCCTTCTCAATCACTGACTACTCTGCCGATAAGAGGCAAAAAATCTCAGGATTTTCACTTTAGCCACCCCCAGCCCTATTGCTCCAAACCAAACACTACAACAGACCTCGTTGACACGCTTCAGAAAATGCAATGTAGTGGTGTAATTTTGACCTTTTCAGCCAGTTCGGACAGCATCACCTAACTGCTTCTGTCCCGCGTGGGAAAGTAGAGGGGAGCAGAGGTCCCTCGCTCACACTTTGTTCATGACCTGTTAAAATCGATACCTCATAAAAGTGGAACTTGTTTTGGAAAAGAAAGGAACGTTGGGTTCCCACCAACTGTCCTAGCTGCAGAATGACGATTTCACAGCGTTTCTTTTAGAGTATTATATTTTAATTATATGTTGCGTCTGCAAGAATAGAATAAAACGCTGAAATTATTTGCCACAGTTTGTCATCTAAGCAGAGTCTGTCTTTTGTATTAGAGTTGTTTTTTCGCTTTTACAACAAAATATTAGGCTTATATAATATTCAAAAGCACAGGCATGGTTTTACGCACGAAGTTTAGGTCAAATTATACACGTGCGTAAAAGATCAACAAAGTCGACACTTTTCTCTGTCAACAATCCCGACTGATGTAAACTAAAACCCGAACGCGTGTCCGCGTCTCCCGCTGTTGTTGGCGGATGTTTATTGTTTTCACTTCACACATGTAAATCTGTGTCACACGAGCTGGTGTCACGTCATCGACGCGTGCCACTTAAACGCACCACCCGTGGGGACACCGCACGTGCCTCTGGATTAGTGTATAATCCTGCTGGCGCCTAATTTCATTAGCATTTACGTTAAAACTGTAATCGAATCAACTGGTGAACAGTTGAAGAATGGGGTTGATTCCAATCGTTTATTTTGATTTTTTGGATGTTTTATTCCAAGTATTTCAAATAGGATACACAACACATCGCCAGCCGTTAATTAAAAAATAAATAAATACAAAGGACGAAATGCACAGAATTTATTTTTGCAATTTAACATCCAGCACTGTACCAGTAACCACTGTTACTGGTACTAGTTCCTGCAATTTTCTCAACAGTCAGCCATGGGCTCCAAAAATAGTTATTTGGATACCACATTATTTAAAAAGAGATACGTTGTAATAAAAGGGAACACGATACACAGAATAACTTGATACATTCCAAAGGAAAACAAAGAATATTTGTTTCAACGTTGACTATTTTTTTAAAGGATTTATTAAATCGTAAATCTGAAAGTTATGGATTTGTAATGGATGCAGTAATAGTAGGATTGATGGTTTGTTGTTTAGAAAAACTGATGAAACAAACACTCATATCTAAAACCTTAACTTAAAGAGGGTTTCATTTATTATTTCACATTTTACACCGTTTTTTATACACACAAATTAAGTTTAGACTTAAATTATACCAAAATAAAAACACAAAAATGCATCATTCTAAAAAAAAAAAGGTTTGAACAACTGTTACATTTTAGATATATATCCTCACACGTGCCGTTTGGCCGAAGAAAAAAAAACAGCTGCGTGAAATAAACTTTATTACCTGGCAATAAAGACTGTTTGGGACAGGAAAAAACAGCTGCGTGAAATAACCTGGCAATAAAGACTGTTTGGGACAGTGGGAGGGGCTTAAGGCAACGCCCACCGTTCGCTATAAATGTCCTCTGTGGCCGCGAGGTAACTCATACATCTTTAAACTGACGGTCCTACTGCACGGGTGAGAAACCTCTGCAAACTTTTGGACTACAACCATGAAACTGATACATGACTCAGAAGAGGCGAAGGCCGCTAGAAAGGTAAGCTGTTTGGATCACCTAAGAGAAATTCTAAGTTCAGTGTTTATTTTTTAATTATTATATACCTAAATGTATTCATGTCATCTTATACGTGCTTTTTTTTCTTCTTCTTCTTCAGATTCTCAAACCTCAAATCGAGAGACGTCGTAGAGAGAGAATGAACCACAGTCTGGAAAACCTAAAGACTCTCCTGCATCTTCAGCGACAGGTAAAGAGAAAACCTTATCACGGTTCTGTGTTATGGTCGTATTGTCCAAAAATTCAAACTCGCCACAAAATACCAGTATATTAAACGTTTATTTTTGTCATTTACAGGAGGAAAATCAGCGCAGATTGGAGAAGGCAGAGATCCTCGAGCACACAGTTCTCTTCCTTCAAAAAATCACTAAAGAAGGTGCTGAAAAAAGAGGAGCCGAAGAGAAGCAATCCTTTCAAGACGGTTTCTCCACCTGCCTCCAGAGGGCAGCACAGTTCTTGGGACCTCAGGGGAAGGAGCTGTGGCTCGGAGTAGCTCTGCAGGACTCATCTTCGTCCGCTCATGTTGCATCGAGCCACTCTCCCTGCAGCCAAACGTCACCGCTGCTTCTCAGGAACTCGTCCAAGCCCGTCGTCCGCCTGTTGGTGAACAAGTCCGGACACACGCTGCAGTTTGTGCCTGCGTCGACACCGAGCAGCTGCGTTCAGAGTCGGAGAGAACTCAGTTTTTCTCCGCCTTCTACTCCCCAGCAGTCGCAGAAAGCCGTGAGCAGGAGCAGCACACATCTTCCACAGCCGACGAGTCACTCCCTGTGGAGACCCTGGCCTTGACCGCCTGGACATAAGTGACTCTGAAACGCCACAGAACCAGCGTTTCTCTATTCCTGCGTCTTTTCTTATGGGACAGTGCAATGTTGTATATATTGTAAATTAATCAAAAATCTTCCAGCTGCTTCTATACTGCCTGCACACGAGTCACCTCGTGTAGAATGTCGTTGACTGATGTATTTTTGCACCTTAATTTATTCTATTTGTCATTTTCTAAATAAAAAATGAAAATTACTAAAAGCGTGAGTTTATTGATTCCTCGTTAGCACGCGTCCAGGTGTGTAACCTGCACGTGAGCACGAAAAGGCACCACGCAGCGGCCGTTCACACTATTTTGACACAAACCTAAATATTTAACGTGGTGAGATCGAAACAGCCCGAACACATGCATATGAAGGAGGCACACGACTCACACATCACCACAGGGGGGTGGAAGAGATGCGTTTAAGACAGTTGAATCATTGGGCAGAAGTGAAAAGTGTCAGTTTAAGAACGGCTATATGCGCAACTGGTAAGGAGTCATTCTTCGTAACTCGAGCAATTGACTTGTCAATTAAAAACGTTTTATGCACTGATGTGACGTCACGTATGAAAGCGCATTTACACAATAGCAAATTTGGGGGAAAAGTCACTATAAAATGCAGAGTTTGGAAACATACACGGCAACGTAAAACATAACCGTATGTACTGTATGTATCCCGCAAATGAAGCCTAATGAGTTAATGTGTGTAACTTTTTTCGACACTGAAACAACTCAATTCGAATTCAAATATAGGCTACATACAAGACACGAAACAAAACAAAACATAATCAGTAGTGTGTGTTTAGCTTCGAATGCCGACCTTCTTGGACAGTATTTTGCAACTAAAGGAAGAAAAAAATTGTCATTATGCCACACAAATATAAACATGTGAGTCAGTTCTTTCCACTTTTCGTTTTAATATATCTCCCTGCTGGGACACTACATCCTGTCAGTACTAGCTCATTTGTACATTAAAAAAAAGTAGACGCTTAGTCGTTAAGGACAAAGGCGTTTGAAGACACACGGCGTGTGCCGTGTGTCTTCAAAGTCTGCTGGGCCTCATTTGCACACTAGTCGTCGGGGAGTGGTGAGTGGTGGGAACCGCTGGACGTGTCCGCTCCCCGTGTCACCACCTCGCACCGATGTATCAGCTTTAGCAGGTAGTAAAGTTGTAAAGTTCGGTGCCATTTCCTCTGTTCTCACGAGAAAGCAAGAAACCACTGGGAACATCACCTCTACCTTCTTAAGACACCTGGAGGGTAAGTGTTAAATCATGACGCATTCACGTCTCTTTTTGTTGTTGTTGTAATTTACAAATCCAGTCAAATCTATTGGTATTGCCACAAATTCACAAAACACATTTGTCTCAATGGACTTGGGTTCTTGTTTCAAAGAAGGAAACAGTAGTCTTATGAAGGTCACTTCTTCAGTTTTTACCCCCTTAAATGTAAATTTAAAATACAACAAACGAAGTACTTTTCTTTGATATTCACTGGCGCGTGCAGAGTAGACGCTAGGCACGCGCAAACGGCGGCCGACTGCGCATCAAAGACAACACAGCCTCGTGAATTACATATCAAAGACTGGAGGTGTTTAGACAAGGTGTGAAGACAGAAGTCAGTCTGAACCTTCTTATGTGAAGACCTTGAACGCATCTGTCAAATGCTTTACATTTTAACAAGTTGAAGAAAATACGCCTCTACTCAAAGATGGACTTGAATGTAAACTTGTAAAATGCGACATGATTTGTTCTGAGTTAGGAATTAAAAGGTGTTTTAGTCAATTATTTTTTTAAAAATCCAATCGTCTTAATTTGTATAATTTCGCAAAATATTTTTTGTTGATTTGTGGCGTGTTTCCCCCACATTACATGAAGTACTTTTATATATAAATTAATCAAATTAAACAAAAGCAAATATATATATATGCAATCATCATTAAATTAAAACAAAACTAACAAGCTTCAACGGTCCTTGTGAAGATTCCAAAATGTCAATGTCTCTTGTTCAAAGCTTTTATTCACGTTAACCATCGACCATATACAAAACAATATGAACACCGAACTGAGGACATGATCAGGACACACACTTGTACCCAAGTCACAAATGCAACTAAAAGAAACGTCATCCTAATTTTATCAAAAATCATTTAATTGTATACATCAACAAAATTTTGACATTTTTCTTCAAAATATACAGACAAAACCATACGACTTGACGTTTCTGCACTAACCCGAGTGCAACCAGTAAGTAGACAGTGTAGTAAGACATCATACTGTGGATCAATGACAAAATGACGACGGACAAAGATCATGTAAACTGACAGGCTGTTTATCTCAGCCGTAACATCTGCGAATGTTGCCACGTAGAAATAAAAATGAATTAAAACGTAAAGCAAGAAAACAAACAAAGCTACCAGGTGATACCAGACAGACGGACACGTTGCTGGGTGATATTATTTCAAGCTCTCCATGCATGAAACTGGGTAGAAGTTTTCTTTATTTTTTGGAATGACTGTGTACAGGCCAAGTCCACATGTAAAGTTTTTTTTGGATGGCTAAATGGCTAAAATGACGCAATTTCCCACTTCATAGGCCAATAAATATTATAATGATAACAAGTAAACAATAACTTAAAGGTACAAAATCACCTACACAGAGATAAAAATAGAAGAGCTTTCGATAAAGGCAGCCTTAATAAAAGCTAATAGTTATCAAAAATACGTGTTGCAACATCTGGCAAAAATTGCAAACAAAATAGCTTAAGTCAAAGCTGATCAAGAAACAATGCATATCTTACATTTAGCTACAAATAGTCGTGAGATAACAGAAACTATACCAAAAGTTTAAAGGTAATATGTTGGTAAACAAGAAAACAAGTCAAATTTACTATAAGTTAATATACATTTTAGGTCATAAACATTTATGTCTTCTTGTAAGCAGATGTGATTTATATTACATTTTAAAATTCTGCCCCCATAATAGTTTAGTTAATATTTTATGATCAAAATATATATGCAAAAAAGGATGAAGCCAACAGTAGAGATGAAGGAGGTCAGGGGCTGTACAGTAGCAGCTGGCCACCAGGGGGTGATTTCACTGGTTGCAATATAGGACAATAACAATTAAGAATTGAGAGGAAAAAAACATCTTGGATTCTTTTTAATATTTGACTCCTAGCAACTGATAAAGGGCTGAAAATGATGTTTTATTTCTACAAAGCTGTTTGTGTGGTGCCGTTGCTGTTGTTTGACCTCTCACTCCTAGACTTTTGCTCTGTGTTTGTTGAACTTACTGCTGCCTGTTCTGCTCTGCTGGGATTTTCTCCATTTATTACCGGTGGCTGATCTGATTGGACGACTAGTTCGGTGGGAGGAGAAACAATAACTCTCTCTATGGTCTCACTGGCTGCTCTGTCAGACACTATGATGTAATTGGGATCTGGCTGTATGGCACTGGAGCGACGCTGGAATGCATGCTGGGTGCAGGAGAAGGAACGCTGACGAGGGGCAGGTTGCGGGGACAGGAAGTGAGGTGTTGCAGCCCTGGGGTTGTCCTGATGCCTGTCCCGATCCTCATCTTCTGAGGTCACCTCTTGTAGCGTGCTGATCGGCCGAGGTGAGCGACCCATGACTCTGGGAGGGACCAGTGCTGTTGCTGATTGGTTGAGCTGTGGTCGCCAGTTCTGAGGGGAGGGGTACTGCACTCTGTTCATCAACCAGTCACTAGCAAGACAAAAAAGTTTGGTTTAAACAATGTTAGAAGTTTGTCAAAAATGACCTCTGATGAAATTCTGCACAATCCAAACCATGATATAGTTAACTATTTTACCTTACAACAACTGTAGCTACACTATTTAATGAGCAAATATTTTCTTTTTTTACTTTCCCTTCTTATTGGAACTCAAACGGTAAACTTACTTTGGAGGAGGTGGAGGAGGCGTCATATCTCGATGTCCTAGCACCCCAGAGAATGAGGCACTTCTACCAGGCAGACCCGGTGATGCCACCCACGGAGAGTACATCATAGTCCTCTCGTCCCACATAATGTCGTTGGGTGAGTCTTCGGTGACAGGCCCTCTCTGAATTTGGTGAGCCAGCAGGAGCTCCAGAACTTGGTGACGCATCCCCTCCCTGGCTACATCAATTGGCCGTCGGCCTCTTCGGTCGTGGAGGTCCAGGTTGGCACCATGAAGAAGGAGGAGTCTGGCTGTGTCGTAACAGCCGTGGAGAGCAGAGAGGAAGAGCTGCGTCTCACCCTGATAGACACACGATGACCATCTGTTGTTTACAAACCATTCACTCTCTGCACCAAAGTTCATACAGAAAGTCATAGATTTTTGTTCACGACACGCAACCGTCATCATCGATTGATGTTTGTGCCCCACAAACACCAGTCATTTGTTTCCCCCATTACACCTATTGCATTTAGGGGCATTTACATGATGCCAACAAGTACTTCAACTTAGTTTGAAGGACCTACAGTGGAAAGACACTTAAATACTGTTTTCCAATTACCTTCTAGGTCGTTCAAGATAGTTTCCGATACTAACTGCTTATTAGATTAGCGTGGGCTCACCTTGTTGTCTTGGAGGTCCACAGCAGCCCCGTAGCGTATAAGGGTCCTCGTAAGGGAGAGGTGGTTTACAGAGCATGCCCAGTGCAGGGCTGATCTCCCTGTGAGACACCATGTGAGTGGAGGTGAGGGGACAGAAGGGAGGGAGTAAGTCAGCCAATGAACAATCATTACACAACCAGGCCAGAGGGGGGGACTAGAGACAGAGGAAGCGATGAAGAAGAAGTGAAGGGAAAACTTCAGCTGAGGTGACAAAGATGGAGATGAGGTGCTAAAGACACAAAGTCGTACGTAGCAAAATGATGGCAAAAGCAAGAAGTAAGAAAAAACATAAAGTTAATATGTCCATTATCCAGAGTTTGAGGTTTTCTTTCTCCACTCATTAACTTTGTTCTGAATCAGATGATGACAGCAGAGGAGCTGGAGGAGGACGCAGAAGAGGAGACGGAGCCATGGCCAGGAGGATACAGGACAGAATAGGACAGGAGGAGAAGGGACAAGGATGTGGGAGAGACGGGGTAAGTTACACCAGATACAGCCCCTCAGTTCACAGGTGTAAGGAACAAATGGCTGTATTCAGCAGGTCACTGGGACATGAATGCATTACCAGTGTGATCCGTGTTGTTGACTGGAACTCCTGCTCTCAGCAGCTCCAGAACCACTCGGTCCAGTCCACTACGGACAGCTCGGATCAGAACCACAGAACCGTCTGGACCACACCATTCGGCTGACTGTGAAGAAAACAGTGTGATGGTGAGCATGAACGCACACTTGACATCCACAACACACAAGTTCCCGAAAAAAAACACCAAAAACGATAAAAAGCAAATGTAGCACAATCCGATGTATATGGCTTTTTTGTTCGCTCTGCTGGCAACCAGTTCCCATGCAAACTAGTTGCCGTTGCCAAATGATGAAGCAAGATTTTTTTAATGAAGTTATGGGAGTGGGATCAAGGTCATAGACCGAGGATCCCCTGTTCTTGGTTTTCTTCACTTGGCCTACAGCAGATTTTTTCCAATAGACTTGTAGCTAGCTAAAGGTCGATCAACCTCCACTTATTTTTAGTTGTTTAATGAATGTATTTCTTGGCAAGCTGTATTTGTGGTCTTTGCAAAAGGGCTGAAGTGTATTATTTGTATGTATTCATCATTTAGCCTATAGTTCATTGCTAACTTTTGTCTCGGCAAAAAACTCACATCGCTACCTAATATCGTTCCAAAGCTTTGGACAGTACTTACGTGATATAACACACTGACCTGTTGAGGAGGGCTGAGCAGAGGAGGAGGCATGGCATTTCTATCCCATCCTCTAGGTGGAGCTGGAACGACAACATAGAAGTTTATTTTATTGCATGAAGGCAATGATTTTGAATTCTGCAGCAGCAGAGACTGTATTGTCATACCCTGAATGGCTCTGTGGGACTGCGAGGGTCCAGGTCTGTAGTGTTTCTGCTCTGGTGTCCTGTGGTCACAGATGGAGGTGTCCTCTTGACGTCTGGAACATCTAGCGTTGATGTCTTCCATTGAACTTTGTGTGAAGTCTGTGTCGCTTCCTATGTCCTGGTCTCTTTTCAGAGGCCTAAAATAAAAACCAAACGTCCAGTTGTTAAAATTGAACACCGCATATCATTAAAGTTGGAATTTGCTGCTGCTGTCGCTACATGTTCCTCCTCTTGACCTTTTCCTTCCTGTATTTTTTATTTTAACTCAGCACGGATTTCTGACACACTCAAACACAAAGGATGGTTTCAGTGAAATATAAACAGGTGAAAACATTGACACGAGCTCTTTAGTGCCTTGCAGCATAGTAAATGGCAGGGTCAGAGGCCCCTCAAATGTTTTTTCAAACATATCATACCATTGTGTAGAAAGACCGGAAGAGAATGGAGGGATACGGGCGGTGACACACACGAAATGCTACATGATTTAGTGCTTGATAAGAAAATCTCAGTAATTAGGGCTGCTTTTTTCTTTTGCAGTAAAATTTATCTTTGTGTATAAACGGAAAAGTAAAAGCATGGAATGGTTTCAGTGAACTGTACAGGATAAAGTCATGACATCATTACGGCTGGAGACATAATATCCTGTCACGGTGCGTCCCCTCACCTCATCCTAATAGCGTCCTCGCCCAGCGGCTCCCTCCTCCTCTTCTTCTCTGCTTCCTTGGCTTTCTTTTTCTTCCTTAGGCTGATCTTTTCCTTCTCCCTGCTGGTTCTGACCCGTTGTTCCTGCTGGGCAGTGCGTGGGGCCCAGCCTTTGGTTTTGCTCTCAGTGTCGGTTACCGTAGAGCGGTGTCTCACTCTGTCGTTGCTCTCCCTCTCCACCCGCTGCTGCCTCACCCTCCTCACCACCAGGAAGACAAGCAGGGGCAGAAGCAGCAACAGGGCCACTGCGATGGCAATCACGGCCCACAGCCACACAGGGTTTGAATCTTCGAAAAAGAGAGTAATTTCAACACTCATTGTCTATTTACTGGCCTTCACAGAAACATATATAAACATATAATTAAATATATAATAAAATGTAATATATTTAAAAAAAATGTTTATCTTTTGTATCAGCTGGCCTACATAGCTCAAAAAAAAAAAAATTTTTCTATCATCACTCTGTGTTTGCACAGGTTCATCTAAGTGGTAACTTAATTATCATTGGATGAAACTCTAGCCTGAACAATTGTCAGTTCACATAGATGCGTAGCAGACAGGAAATGTGGTCCTACCTTCCACGGGCTGTTTCAGCGTTTCCTCCTCTCTGTTCCCTATTTCCTCCCGGACACCTCTGATGCTGATGACAGACTTCAGCTCTGGAAGGGCTGGAAATGATGTAGGCTTCAGCAACAACACGGCCCGTAGGAAACTGGCAGCCTGTATGGCGTGGGGGAAACAGGTAGATGGCAGACGGGCGCATGGCCTGTTGTCCACTTGGAGAAAGAGGAGGGATCTAGGAGAGATAAAGAGCGAGAAAGAATGGAAATAAGGAGATAGTAAACAAAATCAAGCAGTCTTGTGTTAAAATGTGATTCATTTAAATATCTGTTATAATATCTGAGCTATATTTAAGCTAACTTTTATCTATTTTTGCTATATCTAGTTTGTAATTTTTAATACAAGGATTTAGTTATATTTTGGGGGACATTTTTTGTGTTATTTTGCTATATTTTCCCTTAAAATCTTTTACCCAGACCTAGTTTTAATATCATTGGTTTATTGTTAGCACTTGCTTTGACTAGCCTATATTGTTATTGTTTGCTTTTAAATATTCACCAGCTAACATTTAGCTACTACTAAAAATTAAGTTTTACATTTAGGTTATGCTCATGAGTTAATTTATGTCAACATAAAAATATTCAAAGTTGATGTGGAAACACAAGTTGAAACAATGTTCAGCACTAACTAACCCATTCGAATCAGTGGGTTTTGCCTGAGCCAGAAGGTCAATGAGCTGCTGTGGGTTGAAGTCATACAGGTTTCTGGTGGTGGCCAAGTAGGCGGAGCCTCGGAGCTTGAGTGGCGATTGGAGAATGACACTAAGCGCCCATAACAGGGAGCTGTTGGAGAAGGTTCCACGTTCTAAAGGGATGTTGGTGTGGAGAACCAGGGTACCTTTAGCCCACACAGGACTCTGTTGGGTGAAACAATCACTGCCATCCCAGCCACAGGGGGCACTGTTGCATCCCTGGCCACAGTGGGAGTCGGCGTAATGATCACGACAATACTTGATGTGGTCAGGACTGAGGAAACCGAAATGAAGGGATGAAAGGAAATAAAGAAACACAAACGTTTTGTTCAATTAAGTTACGTTGAAATGAAGGAAACAAATATTTAAGAGTTGAAAATGTTCTTATTTTATGGAAAGAAGAAGGTGTTTTACTTGCAGTGGCCTCTGTCCTTCTCGCAGTCAAAGCCATCTCTGAGACACTCGGGCTCTATACACTCTTTGTCACATGACCCGTCTCCAAATTTTTCTTTGCACTTTCTGGTTACTGGACACAGACCCCACGGATCGCCTGATGCAGCTGCACAGACAAAAACCAGCCGGGGGAAAAAAAAGAACAAAAGTATGCAGACATAATAATATATTAATGGCAGATTTTTATACCCACCCTTTCACTGCAAATTCTGGGTATTTAATTTAAATAATTATTGTTTATTTCTGAGTCTAATAAATGAATGTAGCTCATACATTAAATATATATTGACATTAAAGAGTAGTTCTGCATTATTTTGAATAGCTTAAGTTAAAATCTGGGAAAAACTGACGGAGTTAGTCTCAACCTGTGCGTTGTCCCGACCCTCGACCCACATCTTTCTCACAGAGAATGAACAGGACCTCTGGTTTGTTTTCATGCTCTTTGACTTCATGCACTAATTATGCTGACCATTCAATCAGTTCCAGTTTTATCGCACATATTCAGTTGGCTTATTGTTTCTGTGTTCTGTTATGGCCACTGTTCACAACAATGCAGGTCAGAGCCATGAGAGGTGGCTCCTAATTCAGGCCCTTAAAAGGGAACAGGAAACAGTTGCTGACATAAACAGGAAGTTTCCAGTAAAATTGAATAGTGACAGGAAATGGACTGGGCCGGGGGGACTTGATAAAGGTCGAAGGTGGTCGGCGTGGCAACTTGGAATGTGATGGAGTTAGACAATGGGGTTTGGCAGGTGCTGGTAAACCATTAAATCACAGTTGAGAAAAAAGAAAAAAAAGAACAGACAATGAGGCTGAAATTAGATTCAGTTCATGTCTTATCTGTGTCAGCGAAGGGGAACTACCTGTTACAGCAGGGATTAAAAAGTAATTTAAAAAAAATTAAATTTCCAAATATCAGAACAGCTAAATAATGACATTAAATACTTGTTTTGAAATTGTCCAATCAGGTCAAAAGAACCGCCTCCAAAAATAGCTAAACAGGGTTTCAGGTTCAAGGTTCAAGCTAATTCTGATTCTGAAATAAATACACAATAGCTTATGTCTAGATTTTGTGATGAAATATTAAAAAGTCAATCAGAAACATAGGCTAATGAGAATCAGGAATAACAGTAAGAACAACAATAAAAGCCAACATAGCTCTCTGTTAGCAAAGAATATCCATAAATCAACTAAAGTACCTAACTAATCGTAAAAACACCTCAAAAATTAAGGAATATATAGTATATCTTAAAGGCTGGACAAAAAGCCTTTATCCAGAACCTAACTTTTAGATAGGTTCTGGATAAAGCAAAAATAATTCACCTTGATGGCTTTAAATGCTAAAAGAAATCCCTGAAGTGAGTCTAGAAATAGATGAAATGTAGCAGAAATAATGAGACACTAGCCACAAGCTACACTAGTGAGTTTCAGGAGTTAGTCCATTGTTAGCTAAATTACATGTGGCATTTCAAAGCCTTCTATTTCCTGTTGGCTTTTTACTTTATATTTTACTGTTATTAGCACTAAATGTTTGGAGGCATTTGGCTAATTCATATTTAATGTCGTTATTCTGATTTAGACTTTAGTCATGCACATTATAATAGGTGTTTCTTGGAGCGACACAACACAAAAACTCTCGGATAAGACCTGAGACAGTATTGTTGTTTCAGTAGAACGTAAAGTTTGATGTGTTGGTCCTTGAATCATCATAGTTCAGATGTTTATTGCAAATATTCAAACAGTTGATGACCTTTTGATTAATTTAGCAGTTTTAAGTAACGCTTTTTGTTAGTCATTAAGGAGTTTTTTTATATAAAAAAGGTTAAAGGAAAAGTGATACTGATCTGATGAGAATGAAGGACTCACCTGTAGATGTGCAGCTCAGTCCCAGCAACAGAAACATCCCTAGAACCTTCATCTTCGGCGTCCTTCAGGTCACTGGCCGTTGACCTTGTCCCTCCTGTGCTGACTAAGATCAGCAGCAGGACCAGAAGCAGAACCGTCCAACTGTTTCAGGAAAACGAACGCCTCTGATCTGTTCTTCTGTGTTCAGCCGTGACTGTCATAAATCCCGCAGCCCTGCCGTGAAGCTGCTCTTCAAACAGAGAGAAACTAAACGAAGTCTTTCATTCCCATCAGTGCCGTCAACGGCACCTTCTCACTCCCACCCCAGCCCAACTCTTTTTCACAGGCCCTGCGGATATCTGGACAACTTCCTGCCACTGTGCGGAGAAGAATAGGCGGGGGCGATGACCCTCTGTGCGTCTGTGTGTGTGTGTATGGAAATAGCCGTTTTTTTGTTTTGTGTAACGCCTGGTGCGGTTTGGTTTAAATCTGACCTTTAAAAAGCCGTAGTTAACACTCAGTAGTTAAGTCCGGCTTCTGAGTCCAGTGGAGTTGATGTGAAAATGACTGTCGACAACTGCATCTGTTAAGGTTTTACTCATTTCATTTATAAAATACGGCACAATTATGACAGGGAATCTCATTTGATTGTCAGTAATTAATTGTACAAAATACACAAGATACACAGAAATACTTGCTATATTTTTGCTTTCAACTCTTAGACATTTTAGCTATGCCCAAAATCAAAGTAATAAAAAAAATAAAGCCAAAAGTGGCACAGAAGGCTAAATTCAATTAATCTATTTAAATAGATCATATATATCCATCCATGATTTTCTTTCCTTTTCAGGGTCACACAACTGGAGCCAATCCCAGCGGTCAACAGCACACCCTGGACAGTTCACCAGTGCATGACAGGGCCACATAGAAGGACAAACAGTAACAGTCATACCTACTGTCAATTTAGATCAACAGGTAAACCATGCACAATATAAAATATTATATAAAATAAAAAGCTAAAAGATAAATATCATCACTAAAACTACAGCTATGATTGAGCATCAGAATTAAAATATGAAATTAAGCCCAAAACAGACAAAAATATAAAATATTTTCTGAAGAATTAAAGAATATGTAAGCATAAAACTGAAAATTCCCAGCAAAACAACTTTTTAGAATCTTAAAAACAATTTTCAAAAATCAAACCCTTAAACGAATACCCATGTTTAAACTATTTTCTACCTAAACGATTAATAAAATAAACGAGAAATAAAACATTGACCAAATAATTATGTGATTGCTGCTGAAAATTTGTGCATGTGCTTTCTTTCACAGGACCTGCAGTTACTAGTTTGGCCACGTGATGTCAGTGTTGAACTACATAAGGACAAACCCCACTCAGCTCGCTGCTACTGTTTTCTCTGTTTTAACAGCAGGTACAGTATATGCTGTAGGTGCTCGTGTACTTGCCTAAATACAACTAATATGGCTTAAATTATTTTATATCAATTTCGGAAAACGAAATGTCCTCCTTAGTTTCGAAAGGGAGGGACTTTCCACGAACTTTAGAGAGATTACTTTCGGTTTCGCTTGAGAACGAAACCAAATGCAAAGCAGAACACGGTGAGCTTAGCTACAGGCTACTGAGGTCGTTACTAAGTAACAAATCTTATTTCTTATTTATATGTTTGTTTTGGAGTGCTTTGTATAATATCGTGATAGTTTTACGCACTCCAACGTCTGCCAGGAGAGTGGTAAGAAGGTAAGAAGTGGTTTTGTTAAAGGGGACTGTAACAAACCATGCTACAAACAATGCTGCTAAAGTCACTGTCGATGGGGCTAGTTATTCTGTAAAAACTAACAGCCTTATTAAGTTCTACATGTTTTTTGTGTGTGTTTTTATCGTCGTGCTTTTAAATTCGAGTCAGTGGCGAAGGTGAACGTGAAACGACAAGCAGCAAACTAAAACAAATTCCTGAGTCAAATATTTCTGCAGCAGCACAGTTTAAATTGGGAGAATGTGATTTGATGTATTTATTCTGCTTGTGCTTTTCATTTTAATGAACTATGTGATAGAAATCAAGTGTGTAAAATGGAAAGCAAAAGTAATCTAGGATTTAGCAAAGTGAAAGTAACCTTCAAGTCAGGAACAGACAATATTCAGTTATCTGGAGCAAAAATCAATGGAAAAAAATGTGTGTGGAAAAAAATGCATGTATTTTGCACGCCATAAACAAAAAAGATCACCCAGATTCAGAAATGCAAGGGTTGACATCTTTGATGCTGGCATGACTTTGAGAATTGTAGTAATCCATTTAATAATCAATAACCAATCAATTGTTTAACTGGCCTGCCTGTAGTCCAGACTTGTCCCTAATTGAAAGTGTCTGATGTATCATGCATGTTTCACAAATGGTATAAAGTTGCTCAATAATAAACCCTGTGAATCTTTTCTGACTCGATCTGGTCTCCATCTCTTTGTATGTTTTTACAGGGTCCACTCATGATGCAGAAAATGAGCTACTTCTCCGCAGTGTTCCTCGTTTGCTTGGACCTGTGTGTGGTGCATGCCCTGCGCTTTGTCCGGCTTTCACCTCTCCTCCTGCCACATCCCTTCTTTACCCTTTGGGGAGTTGGCGGGGTACGGGCATGCGTCCTCATCTCCTTGGCCCATTCCTTCCCCGGCAGCCTTCCGTGGATGAGAAGCTTCAAGGGACTCCAGAGTATTTTAGTGCTCTGCTTCCTCTTCCCTGTCTACCACACTCTTCTCTGGGTGCTGGAGCGGTCCACTGTCGAGGAGCTGTGGGGCCTGCACTCATGGGAGGGGGTAGGTGACATGTACTTTATCAGTGAATGTACTTTAACATTAATTAACATCACCTAGAGCTGGAAATCATAAAAGACCTAATAATACTAAAACTATGTATAAATATATAATAAAATGATATATTCATAATAAATTATAATAACAATTATATATTTACTTTAAAGGAATAAAAAAATTCATACTTTTTTTTTCTTTCTGCAGGTGTTGCAGGGTTATGTGGTGACAGCTGTGGCCTGGCTGTATTGGACCAGGTACATGTCATCTCTTCAGGTCTCCATGGGTAAATACATCTCCTTTCTGTTCACCAAAACGCCGTCAGAGAAAGTCGAAGAACATACTGTCGCCATTCTGAAGAGACTCGGTAACTTTATCATGCCCTACCGTTGGCGCTTTGTGACTGTGATGACTCTTGTGGTTGTCTCTTGTTATGGTGAGTGACATAAAACTCTGAAGTTACTTTGTTAGGATGTAGACAGAGCTGTCCGTTGTATATCTTAACAAAAAATGTTCTCTCAGGTGAGATGGCTATACCGCAGTACAGCGGCCGTGTGGCAGACTGGATCAGTAAAGAAGACGAACCCGATGCATTCAATGAAGCCATTAAAATCATGTCACTGCTGACGGTGGCCAGGTAACCTTACACAGCAGTGCTCTAGAGAAACACGTTGTTTGACCAGAAGTTTGTCTCGTGCCAGATTTAGGTAAGCTTTTTTAGCTATCAACACAACCTGACTTTATTTCAAAAGCACTAACAAACCACCACAGATGGACAAAGTGCTCTATTCAAACAAGAGAACAAATGAAAGAATTAAACAGAATTCAAACAGTAAAGATGTAAAAGTCATGCATAAAAGCTAATATGCTAAAATGTTTTTAAAATTTTCTACACCACCTATTGGGGAAACATGGGTATTGCAAGGAAAAGGCAGAAGTATAATGATAAGATACATAAATTATATAGTTTGGAAAAGTTTGGCGGGCCAGATTAAAAAGATGAACGGGCCGCATCTGGCACCCGGGCCTTAGTTTGCCCATGCCTGTTCTAGAGTGTTATTCTAACCGTAATTTTTAATGCACTTATAAACCTGGGCAGAATGACATGCACTGAATATCCAATATTTTCACTCCCATCCACTGATCTTTGTTCCAAAACACAGATGATACACATATCATTTACACAGTACGGAAAAATGGTTTAGTTTCACCAAAGCACCTCAAGCTTTAAATACCATTTTAATGCTCAGCACACATTTGTGGAATCTTCACCATCAGGTAAGACAACACAGCTATCATCAGACAATTCTATATCAGCACCACAGTTCGGTGTTTTCGCCCTTGTGTTTGTAAAATCGATATGTAGGTCGCATTATTTCTTTATTTGGGTATTCATCTGTCTAAATTGTTGATACCTTCATGTACTTGACACTGACATCTGTTCTGTTGTCTATTTCAGCGCTGTCCTTGAATTACTTTGCGACCTCATGTACAATATCACCATGTACCGTGTGCATGCCTCAGTGCAGGGACTTGTTTTTGAGGCTGTGTTAAAACAGGAAATTGCGTTCTTTGATGGCACACAAACAGGTACATCTTCAACTTTTAACTTGGATAAAAGGTCCATTTCAGGGTGTTGAATCTCTGTAAGAGTCCATCACAGGCTGTCTGAAGTAGTGACTATTGAATCCAATAGGGGGTGCTCAAATTGCAGGTTAACTTCAGCCTGTTAGTTTAAAGTGAATAATGACTTTCTATAGTTTTTTTGTATGTGGGCCTTGGCTAAACAGTCCCTTGGGGTGAGCAAATACGAAACTGAAGTATTTAGAAAACATCCTGTTTTACCCTGAATATGTACAAGTTATCTTGAATTAAATTTTCCCGTTTGTCTATTTAAGTGTGTTATGTTTTTGGAGAAATCTAAAACTCAACTGTTTTCGTAGGTCAACTGGTGTCGCGAATCACCACTGACACTAATGAAATGAGCGAAGCATTGAGCGAAGAACTAAGCCTTGTCATGTGGTACGTCGGACGCCTCGGCTTCCTCCTCTACTTCATGGTGTGCCAGTCGTGGAAAATAACCTTGTTGACCTGCATGGCACTGCCAATCATTTGGGTCATTCCTGAATTTGCTGGAAGCTTTCAACAGGTAAACCAAAATGTCTTTATGTTAAAGTATACTTTTCCCAAATAAATAAAATAAAAACAAATGCAGAATAATGTTGTTCATTGTTTTTTCCTATAGAGTATAAATCATACCAGTGCCCTCTTGCAGCTGTCAATGTGAAAATAACAAACATGTACATTTTCAGTGGAACAGGAGTAGCAGATACTGGTACACAAGCCTAGAGTGCCCTCTAGCGGCTGTCAGTGTGAAAATAACAAAAATGTGAAATTATATATTTTAATTCATTAGTCACACCTACATATTTTTTATGGAACTGAAACTTTGTCTTAATATTTTTCTAAGGGCCCGTAATAAAAACAATGGTGTTCGGGTGAATGTTCCGTATCATCCAAGTATATTAATTAATCATCAGCAAACAATTGCAATTAGATATGTTTAAAAATTGCTAATTGGAGTGACTCATTGGCTCGGTGCTCATAAATATTTTTCAAACTGTATTTCAGGCTATTGCTGTGAAGGTTCAGGAGTCTCTGGCTAAGGCCAACCAAGTGGCCACAGAGACATTCTCCTGCATGAAGACTGTTAAAAGCTTTGCCAATGAGGACGGCGAGACTGAAAAGTATAGACAGAGGCTCGAGGACACGTACAACATAAAAATAAAGGAATCTGTGGCTTATGCAGCCTTTTCCTGGGCCAACAGTGTGAGTAGAATTCTGACAATCATATTGTTTTGCAGTGTATTAGCAGCACATCTTTACTCAGGATGTTTTAAAAAGTGAAAATTAATAGTTTCTTATTTTTCATGTCACCAAATATATTTTTTTTCATGCCATGCATTTCTTAGATCAACACATTGGCTTTGAAAGTGTGCATTCTCTACTATGGAGGGATTCTGGTGACCAAGGGGACAGTAAGCAGCGGACACTTGGTGTCATTCGTCATGTACGAGTTACAGTTTGCCTCAGCAGTCGATGTAAGCTGCATGTGAATAAACGGATCTTTTTTTTAAAAATTCTTCTTCTTCTTTTTTTTAGTTAACCTTCACCAATGGTTTTCTTTCAGGCTGTTATTCGTTGTTATCCCGAGGTAAGAAAGGCCATCGGTCGCTCTGAAAAGATTTTTGAATACATGGATCGGAAACCAGTAGTGCCCCCGGATGGTACTTTGGCACCAGAAAACCTTAAAGGCCACATTCAGTTCAAAAATGTCTGCTTTTCGTATGGTGACAAAGACAAAGACACAGACAAAAGCAAAATGATTCTTCAGGTATGTGTGTCCTACAGCCATTTCTATAGTTCCATGCTGATAATTCTTTGTTGTTAGCATAGCAAAATGATTTTTTTTTCTTCCACCAGGATGTGTCCATGGAGATAAAACCAGGACAAATCACTGCTCTTGTGGGGCTCAACAGATCAGGGAAATCCACCTGTGTAAAACTGCTGGAAAGGTTTTACCAGCCACAAGCAGGGGAGATTTTACTGGACGGAGAACCATTGATAAACTACAAAGACCAGTTCCTACATGACAAGGTAGGCTTCTACAGTAGCGGGCTGCTGTCGTCTTTGACAGTCACAATAACAGCATTTTTTTAACATTCTTTTGGCTGTTCTTTGATAAAACTGGCACATCTAATAATACACGATGCACAGGAATATTTTTATATATTTGAGTTTTATTTTACCCTCCAGCAGCACATTCACTTCTCATGTGAAATTGTAATTTTACGACTCACTGGGCCTGCTTTATCGTTTAACTTCATGCCCGCAGATACTTCATAACTGCAGGCCTGCACATGTCAAGCACCAGGACACATGAGGACGGAGGCAGAGCAGAAATGGGGGCTCTTTGAATTTAGCATTAATTTATGTGGTGGATGAATGTTTTTTTATGACAAGAAGTTGCCTTTTAGTTTAGTACAACAACTACTTCAGACTATGTTGGGGTAACAAAGGACACTCACTCAGTTAGGAAAAAAACATATATAACATAACATATATAATGAAACCACCACTTTGTAAATAATGGACACCTAGCTGAAATGTAATAACCATAAGACAGAAAAAATCTGTCTTTCTGCAGTTGAAATCACAACACGAAATGAAATGAAAGTAGCTGGTGAGCTCAATGATGGTTTAGCTAATATTTTCTCTCATCTTGTTATGGATTTAAAAAAACACTTTCTTTTTCTTTATGACATTGTTGACTGTTTGTTCGTAGATTGCCGTTGTGAGCCAGGATTGTGTGCTGTTTGCACGCTCTGTTCGTGAGAACATCAAGTACGGCTGCAGCAATGTGTCTGATGCCGACATGTACAACGCTGCCAAAATGGCAAACGCTCACGAGTTCATCCTGGGGCTGCCCAATCAATACGATACAGGTTCACATAGGCTTTCTCATAATTGTGTAAAAATGTAGCCAATGTTTCTGTCTCTTCCCATAAGGCTAAATGACTACAGTATGTATATAAATTAAGGATGTCCGATATTAACCTTTTGCTAATATCTGATATGCCGATATTATCCCAACACTTCCAATTCTGATATCAACCGATACTGATATTCGCAGTCGTTTCCCCTCGAAAGCGCGTTTCACAAGCGCATATGTGGCAAAACCCAAGTATTGAATTATCGGGTTTTCATTATCAGAGGTACAAACAATAACGATTCTTACAGATATTACATAATTATTCTATTATCGGGCTGATAATAACGGTCAGCCGATATTATCTGACATCCTTAATATAAATGCATGCCATCTCTCTGTTAATGTTATTTGTAAGGTTTAACAGTTTAAAGTAAACAAATACTTCTGTTGCATAGATGCTGGAGACAAGGGAGGTCAGGTGTCCGGAGGCCAAAAGCAGCGCATTTCTATTGCCAGAGCTTTGATCAGACGTCCCAGAATCCTGATACTCGATAATGCTACCAGTGAGTTGGACTCTGAAAATGAATACCAGGTAGGAAGATTATTCTTTTTCTTAAACTTTAACTTAGTTTTCACTTATTTTCTTCATGTAACAGCAAGTTATGATTGCACTTGACAGGTCCTTCAAGCTTTGTTGAACCAGGGCAACAGTTGCTCAGTGCTGCTGATTTCCAACAAGATGAGTGTTGTGGAGAAGGCCAGTCACATCATTGTTCTCAGCGAAGGGACAGTTAAAGAAGAAGGAAGTCACCAAGAGCTGCTGAAGAGAGACGGACTCTATGCTGCGATGTTGAAAATGTACAACATGAGCTTTCAACGTTAGGAAGAGGAATGATGCCCAGTGATACCTTCAGAGTTGCACTTACTGTAAGCCTCCAAAGTTGATTTGCAGCTACATGTAGATTTAGTTGTAAAATTGCACTTGCAATTGTCATTGTAGAATGACTTTGCTTTTCTGTGCACCCCATTTGAAGGGTGAAACCTTATTTTGGAAATACCAGACTAAATGGGAAAAATACAGGGAATAATTTAACACGGTTAACCCTTAATTGACCACATTGCACTGACCTGCAAAAAAAGAATCTAAGGAAAATATAATTAGAGCTACTTTAAATATTTGGTTCACTGATATTTTTCTAACTAATTTTTTGATATGGCAATTAGCTGTCACAAGCCAGTGTACTAGTCTCACCACGCAAGATACATATTATTTTTTTAGGAATACTTTAGCAAGTTATCATTAAACGTTTTACTGTCTATGTGCTTCTTGCACTGCTTATTTAGATACAGAATATTTCATATGGAAACATGGATGAATCTGGATGAAAAAAATGATGTGTACATTCTGAAATTGTTAAGTATTTGAAAGTGTTAAATATTTGGTTTTCTTTGTAGCTTGTTCTCATCATTGTTCACTATTTTGTATTTAAATAAAAAAAGATGTATCTCTTCACTCAGCAATATTTTCAAGAGCACATATAGGTTTTGATAGCCCAAGTACAAAAGGACAACAACAAATAATAATAATACATTTTATTTCATAAGTGAAGTCTAAATGGGTATTTTTTTCTTCTTCCCTTTTTGTGGTCTTGCAATAGCCTGTTGAACTATCCAAGGTATACCCAGCACTTGCAGATGTATAATTATACATATATGCATCCATATATGTATATAATTATTTACAACATTACTTTTTACGTATTCTTCTGTATCTAAAAATCTCAGAAAATTGGAAAAATACAGAAGTATACAGTATAAGGAAAAGTACTTAGTCATGATGGATCCCAAAAAAAATAAGCAGAAAATAAATAAAAACAATCTGAATCTAAAAACAAAACTAAAAGTTGTATTGCTTGCCTATACTTTTCTTGGGGTAAATAACTATAGTAAAATCAATCTTGGGTATTTTCATGTTTTTTTTCTATGCACATATTTATTTAACCAAAATAATAAAGTGAGCTCGCTTACACTGTTTGTTTAGCGTTCTGTGTTTAAAGAAATCTTTGCTGTTTAGAAATACGTTAGGTTAGGTTTGGGGTTCCTCGACGTGGGATAATACATTTCTTTTCATCTTAAACTACACATATCCTTGTCCGTTTTCGTGTAAACGTTACCTTTTTCATACATTTTGCCTGGACAGTGTACCTTTTATACGACAAACTCCGCTTTACAGTATAGCTCCACATTCTGGATTTTAGGAATCTGACGTACAGTACTATGAAGCACAAAGCAACATAGTCAACAAAGATACAAAAAATGCATATAAGGGTCCATCCTCACAGACTTGTATAAATGCAAAGTCGGAATTCAGGGATTTTTTAAAGCCAAATTTATAGAATTTGATCAGATAAACGCAGTGCGTCTCCAGCTCCCTTTGTGTTCACACACAAACATGACAGAGAACAAAATGTACTGACTGGGTTTACCAAAAGACGTGCATTTCTAGACTGGCTCCTGGAATAACCAATCAAATAGTAGAACTTTCTTTCACGTGACCGGACATACGGGTTATTGCCACGTGGTAGGTTTATAAAGCGTCAAGCGGAAACGACTCGGCGCCATTTCATTGCAGAGGAGCTAAGTGGTGCTTCGGTGGAACTACGGCTTCATCAGCCAGTGGGAAAATAGGACCGTAATAGTCCGCCTGCAGCCCGATGGAAGCAGCCATCAACCCGTCTCACGACAAGTAATGTCCCCGTTAGTTTATAACAAGCAAATGTAAAGATTTGAATAGGTGTTTTACTTTTCACTGTATTGCTTAAATAAGACACATTTGGTGCTAGATGTCATCTTGCTTTTCTGCTGTTGTTAGCATAATGTGTTGTGCTTAGCTAACCGTGTTAGATTTTGACAGAACACTAACTATTTGCAAAAACAATTATACCTTTTAAATATTTATATATTTTATATGTGTTGAGCGTCGCATAGAACTGAACACTGGCAAGAAGAAGGAAGGTAATTACTGCAGGTCTAAAGGCTAAAAGCCGGTATCTTCTTCACCGACTGACTGTCATTCATTGCCCTGCTAATGCTAATTCATTCGCTCTCATGACTTACACAGTATTTACTTGGGGGTAAATACCGAATATAAACAATAATAGTGCCTTGTGAACAAAAAATTATGGCAGTATCTTTGTTGTGCTCGGGGGGTTACGTTCGGTCGCATTAAATTGCAAACGGTTATCGAACGTTAAAAACCTCCGTTATTCTATAAAATGTGTGGCTTTGATGAAGGTTCGAGTGTCCCATCCTTCTTCCGAGACAGTGTTGTTATATAAATCGCTTCTGGATAATCATTACTTTTAATTCTCTAGTTTTGACATCACAATCTGTAAAGGGCAGGTGTCATTTTGAGACGGTGTTTACAAACAGCGAGGGCGGGGTGTCAAAGCCACGCGATTCTTCTGCTGCTCCTGCAGCTGCTGCAAACACAAGCCTCCGTCTTTATGACAACAGAGATGTTCGCCGTGATGTTGAAGGGATTAAGATTAAAGTAATCATAATTAATTTGAATTGGGCTTTGTTCATGCTAACCCAAAAAATTAAAGGACAACAAACATGTCCTGGTTTAAAATACTATACGGTGTTGGCTAAATAGATAGTAATTAATCGGATATTAAAGGACATGTAATTTTTTTTAAATCAGAAAGCTATAGTTACCAAGACAGAAGTCTAGCTTGACATTTATCCTTTTTGGCTTTGTAAAAATAAATTGTATTGTTTTTTTTACCCTCCAGGAAACTACAACAATACAATACAGTTAATGCAGTTTTATTGTAGCACGTTCAAGAGAATTGATGGCACATGTATTTAAAACAAAAAAGATCACTAAAACCACTTTTTACAGTTTGTTAATGCTGAATGAATAAAAAAAAAAGGTAACATTTTCTTTTTATATTGCTTCGCTCTCTAATGGCCGTACTGAGCAGCTGTAAGATTTGGCCAGGTTTTCTATTTTAAGAGGACCTTACTCTTTTTATATGTATATTTAATGTAGTACATTTGTCTCACATTAGGGTAAATTCTTTGATTACTGGTCATGTAACTTAGAGAGCACTTTAAGATCTGCCCTTGCAGAAGGAGTCTTTGTTACCACGGTGGGTTCTATAGGTGTTCTTTAATGATTTTACTAAAAGTTAATGTTAGGTCAGTTTAAGCTGTAAACCCTGTTAAATAAGCAGTAACTGTAGAACCATAGCTCTTTAGTCAAGGCAACAGGCGACACACTTTTTTTTAAATTTCTCAGGTTTGTGCAAGTGCATATTTTGATCTATAAAGCAGGTACAGTGCCTGAATAATTCATACTAAGCAATCTAAGTACTCTGCTTAAACCAGTGAATCCCAAACTTTTTTGAGCCATGGTACATATTTTATACTAGAAAATCTTGTGTATTGTATTTGTGTATTGCATACACTGTAAGGTTATATTAAGCACTCGTTGATGGGTTTAAGTAAAAAATGTGTTTGTTTTTCCCCCCCCCCAAAAAAAGTAAGAGCCGGAGTGTTTTAAAATCCTGTGTAAAAAATCCAACCTAATACCAAAGTATTTGTGCAGCTTTTAAGTCTGCTTAGAGTGATGCCTCACAACTCACCAACCCATAAGATGGACTTTTAGGCTTGGGCACGTTTTTGCACACCAGAGGAGATCCCCAAGGATCGTTCTTTTTATTTTGATGAAAGTTAATTTTGTAAACTGGTGAGCTGTGAATTCCAGGGCACATATGAGCTGGCACAGTGAAGTGGGTCTTACACTGCTCTCACTACTAATATTTACTGCACAATATTTAATGTTATTTAAGGTCAGTAATAATAATAGTAAGAGTTGTTGTTTTTTTATTGTTGGTCACATTATAAAAATCAACACTGTCTATATTTTTTGTGTGAATTCAATGTAATAATTGAATGCCTTTTATGCATATTTGCTGTTTTTACCTTGACTGTGATCACAAACTTGGTTCCCACGGCACTGTTAGAAGTAGCAGGCTGTTGAGAGAATTCTGTTGTAGAAGCCTGAGTTAAGTTAGCTTAGCTTCACTGGTCGTATAGTCGTTTTTACATGTAAATGATGTCATCAAAGGAAGTCTTTCTTTTGTATATGTGTAGATGTTGCTCATCTTTTTGTATTTACAAATGAAAGTTTGGTCATTAAAAAAAAAATCTAATAAACAAGCCCATAAAGACTAGGCCAAAGAAAATGTATAGTAACTCTTTAAGAATTTATGTGCCTGTATTTAATTCAGATTTTGTGGGTTGTTTGGGCCAAAATCTTTAGCTTCATGTTTTTTACACCAATGTAGGCAGTTATTTGTTTTTTTTTTACGACGGGGATTTAAAGGTGTTCTATGGAGTGAAAAGAGAAATGCCACTATGGGATAAAACACCAGTAACGGTTCTTAGTGTTAAGGACTATTATGATGTTTCTAATTATTTCTAGTGACAATATTTTTTACCCCCCGCTGTATTAAATATTTCTCCCCTGTGCTTTCTCTCAGCTCCATGGTCGGGTTGTCCACTGGCGGAATGGACCAACACACCGCCTCTGGCAAACGCATTCGCAAGCCCTCCCTACTGTACGAGGACTTTGAGAGCCCCTCCCTGCCCCACTCACTGCCCCAGGGGCCCCCAGCACCACCACAACCTCCAGTCAAGGATCCTAATAGACCAGGCAGGATGACCAACCAGCTACAGTACCTCCAGAAGACAGTGGTGAAGTCTCTGTGGAGGCATCACTTTGCTTGGCCTTTTCATGAGCCTGTAGATGCCTACAGACTGAACCTACCAGTGAGTTGAAAATTGGACTTGTCATAAACATGTCAGCTTTTATGTCCATCTTTTAGTGACATCTTTCAAATTTGAAGGACTTAAATAAACTATGTTTAAGATGCATGTTTATGGTCTTTTTGAATTATATATCAGATGAATAATTAACAAATAATTGACACTTATTTTGAAACCACAATAGAATAAAATGCTTTAAACTCTTATGGGGGGAATGAAGTTTGTGAAATTGCATATTTTAAAAAAAAAATACCCTCTCTTTTCCAGGATTACCACAAAATCATCAAACAACCCATGGACATGGGCACTATAAAAAAGCGTCTGGAGAACAACTTCTACCGTAGTGCAAGTGAATGCATCCAGGACTTTAACACAATGTTTACAAACTGCTACATTTACAACAAGGTAGGTCAAGGTGGACTATGTGTCAGTTTTTAAATATTTTATAATGAAATTCTGCCATAGTGAAAAATATTTCAATATATAACAATAATCTGCAAACTCAGCAGTGATGAGTTCTCCCAATGTCTTTAAACATTTGAATACTTTATTGTATAAACATTTATTTAAAAAAAAAAAAATTACATGCGTGTTAATTTTTTTTTGTATTTGTTTCTATATAGTACTAATGGTTTCTTGAATACATTTTAATTGTTAGCCCACAGACGACATTGTGCTGATGGCCCAGTCCTTGGAGAAGATCTTTCTCCAGAAGGTAGCTCAGATGCCTCAGGATGAAATAGAGCTTCCTGCTCCGACTCCTAGAAACAAAAGCAAAGGAAGAGGTCGAAAAGCTAATGGTAAGTTAATGAGGCACCCTTCAACTTCTTGCCTTCTGTGAACTCACCCATCAGTCTCTAGCTGGGGACTTAAAAAGAGATTTCACTGCTAAAGCGAAATGTACTTTTTCCTCAAAGCATCAAGGGCACAGCAGGTACCGGCAGTTTCTCAGTCAGCCTACTCTCCCTCGTCATCTGACACTGGGGAGTCCATGTTGGCCAACTCTCCACAGACTGTCTTAACTAAAAGCCTGCCTCCAGCGAACATCATGGGCCTCCCACCAACACAGCCCAAAACCAAGGTGCGTTACACAGCAACAGCACATTAATACAAGTAATGGTAGCTCTTGAGCCGTGTACAAATTAGGGATGGCTCGATACAACCTTTTCATGTTTGAGAACAATGCTGAAACTGAGTATCTGCAGATTCCGATATCCATTTCATACCTTCTTTTCTACTTCAGCATGCCCTGTTTATGTCAGTTGTGCAAAGTTAAGTTGAGTATTCGGGCTTGGGTACCAGATAAGACGAGCTATAGCGTGCTTTTTTTTAAAAAATGTTGTTTAATTTTTTTTTTTCTATGATCGATCCTGAAATTTTGACTAATACCAGACCAATAGCAATCGAGCCACCCATCATACAAACTCCTTAGTTGCTTACAAACCTTTGATACCATTTAGTGACTTTTTAAATTCTGTCTCTTTGTAGAAAAAAGGAGTAAAAAGAAAGGCAGACACCACCACTCCATCCACCATGGGCTTAACAGTTGGCATGTCTGGCGTGGGGATGTCTGCTGTTGGTATGTCCGCCGTGGGGATGTCGGGTGTAGGCATGTCTGGGGGAACACACATGGTCGGTTTGGGGAAAGGAGGACACGGCGGCCAACTGCACGACACCTCCATGCATTCCATTTCCTCCATGGGAGGCATTAGTCTAGACACTCCACCTGGCATGGGTCTTGTCAGGAGCCCTGGAGGCCCCGTCCTTCTCCAACCAATGATGGCAGGCGGTGGACGCAGAGTTGGCAGCGGGCGACCCATTAAGCCCCCTAAGAAGGACTTGCCCGATTCTGTGCAGCCCCAGTCTTTGAAGAAAAGCAAACTCAGTCCACAGCTGAGGTATTGCAGTGGGCTGCTGAAGGACATGTTGTCAAAGAAACACGCTGCATATGCTTGGCCTTTCTACACACCTGTGGACGCCAGTGCACTGGGCCTGCATGACTATCACGACATCATCAAGTGTCCAATGGACCTCAGTACCATCAAGGTAAAGCTGCATAGTGAGAGGTGCAGTTCTTGTGATGACGGCCATTGTGCATGTTGGTCATTATCGTTTTGATCATTTCTAGAATTGGGAGGCAATTTAATTATTAATACTAACTGTATATCAGTAGAGTTGCTTTACATATATATTTTTATATTGTTTGGGGTGAAACAACTGTATTTTTATATTTTTGTATTTTATATGGACTTGTTTTGTAGGGTTTTAATGACGGATGTGTTTGTTAGCAGACCAGACACATTTTAATGCATCTCTTACTTCACATTTATTTATGTATAGAGGAAAATGGACTGTCGTGAATACAGAGATGCTCAGCAGTTTGCAAGCGATGTTAGACTCATGTTCTCCAACTGCTACAAGTACAACCCTCCTGACCATGATGTTGTGGGCATGGCAAGGAAGCTGCAGGTGAGATGGGCAGATTCAGAATGAGTATAAGACAGGAATGGAAAGAGATGATTTCTTACCAATTTCTTCACCACAGGATGTGTTTGAGTTCCGATTTGCCAAAATGCCTGATGAACCTCACATGGATCACACATCTATGTCTTTGAGTGGCCACCCAACATCATCCTCGTCCTCTTCTTCGTCATCCTCGTCATCCTCCTCCTCCACTTCGGAGAGCGAGCCTAGCAGTGAGAGCGAAGAGACAGAGAGCAGCCCGAGCTCTGACAGTGAGGAAGAGCGAGCACATCGCCTGGCTGAGTTACAGGATCAAGTATGCACACAGGTATGAAGTCTGTTCAGTTATTTTCTTTAATTTACTTAGAAGAATTCAAGTCTCTTCTATGACATATTAAGAATTTTGCAATTTTTCTTTCTTTAAATCTTCCAGCTGAGAGCCATGCATGAGCAGCTAGCTGCCCTCTCTCAAGGGCCCATTGTCAAGCCTAGGAAGAAAAAAGAGAAGAAAGAGAAAAAAGAGAAGAAGAAAAAGAAAAAGCTTGATAAGAAGAGTCGAGGCATCAGGAGCAGAGCAGGTTCAGAGGAGTGGAAGATGCCCAGCAAGATGCTGAAGACCAAAGCTGTCAAAGCAGGAGGCTCACAGCCAAAGAAGAGTCAGGCAAAGAAGAGCAACAAGAACAGCAAGTATGTGTGAGAATCAATTCACTACTATTTAAAGGTGGAGACCCACCCTTAAATAGTCAAGTTAAAAACAATTTGTGGTTTATGTTTGAATTTTAATTTTCAAAGGGTTATATGGAATAAAACAATTTTATTGTACTGTTGTAAGGACTGTTTTTCAACCCTCTCCTCCCAAATTTTCAGGCCACCAAAGAAGCCATTCTACCCCCCTGTGGCTCCTTCTATGCTGCCACATTACGATTCTGAAGAAGAGGAAGAGATCGTGCCCATGACGTACGACGAAAAGCGTCAGCTGAGCCTCGATATTAATAAGTTGCCTGGAGAGAAGCTGGGACGTGTGGTTCACATCATCCAGTCCAGGGAGCCATCACTGAGGGACACCAACCCAGAAGAGATAGAGATAGACTTTGAAACGTTGAAGCCATCCACACTGAAAGAGCTGGAGCGTTATGTCATGACTTGTTTAAGGAAAAAGCCACGGAAACCTTATACTGAGCAAGGTGGGCTGAGGGCCACAGACGTTATTGCTTCACCCACATATTTCAGTCAATAACATGTTTGTGTCTTGTCGTGGTTCTTTCCTTGTAAAAGGAAAGAAAAGCTGCGTTGGAAAATCTAAGGAGGAGCTGACCTTAGAGAAGAGGATGGAGCTGGAGAGGAGGCTGCAGGACGTCAGTGGGCAACTGAACTCTGTGAAGAAGCCCACCAAACCCAAAGGTGAGCTTGCACAGTACATTTACTCTGTTTCTGTGCATGTGGGTGTGTGTGGTGCACACGTGTGGAGAAAATGCGTACATTTATTTTTATAATGTAGATATGTAAAAAGATTGTCCAAACTTGTTTAGTTATTTTGCTTCTGTTTTTCTGCCTGTATCCTTGCTCCTACCCCTCTTTAATCTTTCTACAATTAATTTATTATCTTTTATTTCTTATTATTTCTGAACTTATTGTTTTTTGTCATAATTAAATATATTTTTTTCCCTCCTTGTCTTCCTCTTTCAGTGGAGAAGACCAGTGCAGTGGAGACACACACTCAGCCTTCTCGGCTTAGTGGCAGCAGCTCCAGCTCTGACTCCTCTTCTTCTTCATCCTCCTCCTCGTCCTCCTCAGACACCAGTGATTCAGACTCTGGCTGAGATGCTCTGCCCTGGCTTGGAGTGAAATCTTAAATAACTCAGGGACCTGGGCTGGCCCAGGACACAAGACTCCCTGAAATTGAAGTGGGCTGAGACATGAAGATACAGTTAAAAAGAAAAACAACAAACAATAAGATATTGTGAATGTGGGACTGAGGGATGGAAAACTATTTCTCTGTGGATCAACATCAAACCCAAACACTAAATGCCCTAATCCTCTCCCCCTCTCTTTGTAAATAATTGTACAAATTTATGTTTCTTTTATAAAGAAGAATTTTATGGTGATCCCCCAAAGAGGGAATTGAAGTAATATAAAAAGGAAGTGGAAAGATGGGCCAGTTTCCACATCTGCTTTGTCTGGCCTTTAAAGGTATCTCCTCTGTGGCCACGGAGTAGTAGAGCCCTTATTTATTTGTTTTATTTTCCCACTTGTGTTCATTGTGAGTTAGAGCTATTGCTGTAGCTATGTGGTCACAAGCCTTACTTTTGTTGTCCCAAATATCCACTGTGCTGCATCAGTAGGAGAAATCCAGCCATGGTTAACACAGTGTTTAAGGTTACTAGGTACAGGGGGTCAGACAGTATTCTGTCTACCTCTAAATGCAGCTTTGCTTTCATGCCTGTGATGTCTGGATAAACCTGCAGTAACTGCAGTGGAGGCCAAGTTTCTAGAGGCCAAGAAAGTCTGCCTTGCTTTTGAGAAGGACTGTGGAGGGAGGAGTTCTGATGGCACCTCGTTGTAGTTTTCCTCAAAGGTGTGGACTGGTATGAGCTTCATGGAAAGCAATTATGTCCCATAAGTTTCATGTTGTGTAGTAGTTGTAATACTATTTTGAGCGAGAATATAGTACTTAGATCGCTATCAACAAAAAATGTCTATCAAAAGAGTCTATTTCTGTACTGGCAGTACTTGGTGACAAAAACAGCAGCACTATATTGGAAATGGCCAGATTTCTCCTTTGGGACCATCTACAGACTCCTAGGCCTTATTGATCCAGGAGGGTAAAAACAATATCAGAAAATTGGAAAAAAAACATTTAGATTTGTTTTTAAGCTTTCTACTGCTCACAGATTAGAAGTGAAACAATGTTTTCTGGCAGTTGAAAACCAACACAAAGCTGTTTACAACGGCATTCTGGGAAATGTCACTACTTTACGGCTACCATTTTCTCCTCTCAAGTCTGTTTACCACGTCTAGTAACTGCATTTTTGTTTCAAACCAGATAGGATTCATAACACAGTATATAAAAACATTTCCTTTATATAATTACAAAAGCTTAGAGATTAATATGACAGAAATGTCTGTCTGCAGTTGTCGGAGATCAGCCTTTACATCATCAAACAGTCATTTAAATATAGCACTTGTTCATTTAGGAGCTCAATGTTAATCAGATTACAGCGTAGCTTTCTTATTTCCATGGCGAATTTCCTAAAGCAGTGATGCAGCGTAGCACGAAGCTAAAGAACCTCTGCAGCACTTGGTTATTTTAAAGACTTCTGTTGGCTGCTGAGAGATGACTGAAGAAGAGTAAGACCACAGTTTTTCCACAAAGACTGAAATGTACTCCTGGTTCAGATACTGTTGTTGAATGTTCAGTAGAATAAGATTTGCGTGTACATACTTAAGTGTATTTGCTGTTGCACAAACTGTTATACTGCTGTTCAGTCATTTTGACTCGACTTTGTTTTTCAATAATAATACAATATTTTCCACATTCCTCTTTACTGTTTTAGTTGATTTCCTGATGAGCCTTCCTATCAGTTACTGCTGCTTCTCCAACCTTTCATTTGACAACTATTAAACTGTTTATTAAAATATTCACTTCTGTACTTTAACTTTGTGATGTCTGAGATTCTGTTTCAAACAATTCCACACCTGGTGTATGAAAATAATCCTAATGATGGACCCTGTAGTGTTTTCTTCTACCCTAGATAACACACTATGATGATGCTCTCCGAGGATAATGCTGTGCTGCGGCCTCCTGGATTGGTATTTGGAAACAAACATCGGAAAATTAAACAACAAAGGTACAACCTTTTTGTTTTAGAGCTTCACATTTTTGATGTAAAGATTCTTCAAGATGCTTTAAACATTCCTTGATGATGTTGGTGTCTTTTGATATGATTCTCTTCAAGTAGCAGGTGTATGTGTTTGCTGTGTCTGATGTCTTAATAGATACTGTGGCAACAATGGAACATGAGCATGTTTGTATTCACATTCGTTACTTAATTCACATCCGTTACTTGATACAATTTTTTCACCTACGTCCCTTGATAAATAACCTGTGAATTTAAAAGTAATGACAAAGATGCAGCGTTGGAAAATACTTGCTATGTAACAAGGTCGTCTACTTATTCGTCATGTATTTATAGCTCTTGTCCACTAGATGGCAGTATATATTCGTTTTAAAACCGCCCTTGGTGTTCAAGGTAGCAACAGCTGAGTTGTCAGTGAGTCACAATATTTGATTGCTGTTATTGGCAGTGATAAGTGGGAGGTACAAGCTACAGTAAAAACTCCATCTGCCCTCTAACAGGTTTGCAGTACCTGACATGCAACATGGGACCGAACCTGTTCCTGCTGCTGCTCCTTCCTCTTCCTTTGTGCAGCCAAGGTAAGATTTGTTTTCATGTGTATGAGTATGAGTATAAGCATACAATGAATACAGATGAAACCAAAACACTGGAACTGTATATAAAATAAATCTAAAGCCTCTGCATTTTAGATTCAGCTTAGAGGGTCAAAACATGAATGTAATGCTGTTGCCTTTATAATTATGATGAGGGGTGAAAAATGTCTACATTGGCTTCTGTATTTGGTTGAAATCTTGTTGATTTGTTGTAGCCTTTCACATAAGAATGTATCTGCAGTGTGTTGGAAGACAAATGGCTGAAAGTTATTTTTATTAAGTTAGTCAGCGATGTAGCAAATATGTAACTAGAATAAAACACATTATGACCTTCAATACTATGCAAAATTTTACCATGAAAATTCATCCATTACCTAAGACTAATCAAAAGTGTTCAGAATGAAGCACATATCTAATTACTTACAAAAATCACTAATTACTTTTTAATTTGGTAAATATCACAATTTCAAAATTTACAATAATCACAATTTCAAAAGGCATAATTAAAAACAAAAATGCTAGCAGTACAAAGGCAGACCAAAATATAGAAGATAAATTGCCTAATGTTAGCCTTTTTTCTGGAAAGTAAAGGGTAGGGTTAGTTCATACATTTATTTATTTACACATTTGTGTTTTGCACTTTAACAGAGTTTCTCTTGAATTATAGTTATTTTGAAAATTTATGCTCATTGGCTCTGAATACACATGCAGATACAGATAAAACAGTAGTGAAGGCTGGGATTTTGATCAGCACCACTTAGTACTGGTGTCATCACGTGTCTCAACACCCATGAAAGAGTTTGAGGTGGGACTACAGCTGTTGGTGATGGTGCACCCAACACTCCTTTTGAATTGATTTATATTTTTATGAAATGTTTGTACATAACAATGCAGTGCATCAAAAAAGCAATTGATGATTTAAAAAGTTTGCGATTTACCAATTGCTCAGTAAAACCTACATCTGTCCAAGCCCAAAAAAATGGCAACTCACTACACACAGCAGTTCAACTCATGTTGTTTGTATGTCCCACAGGTAAACATTTACTTCGCTTTTTGACCCTTTGCCAGCGGCAGGAGGAGAGTGATGGTCAGTATGACATTGAGTTTGATGGCGATCAGCTTCTCTATGTCGAACCTTCCAGCTACATGATCTTTCAGCGCCTCCCAGAGTTTGCAGATCAGTGGATCCCTGATCCTAGTCTGCGCAAAGAGGCCTATTTGGACCTCGGTACCTGCAAGTACAATTTAGGAAATATCCGCAACC